GCCCGTGCCACGTGGTCCGCGGCCATTTTTCCGCCCGTTCCACGTGGTCCGCGGCCATTTTTCCACCCATTCCACGTGGTTCACGGCCATTTTTTCCGCTCTGCCGCGTGGTCAGCAGCCATTTTTCCACCCCTGACGCATGGTCCGTGGACGCCGGAATGGATTAACGGTAATTACATTGAAACTTATGGGAAAATTTACTTCGACTTGCGACCAACTCGACTTGCGATCAGAGTCACGGAACGGATTAAGTTCGTAAGTAGAGGTACCACTGTACTTGTAAATGTTGGGCAAGTTAGACAGAAGTGTGCTTCCAGAGGAAAATCTGGCTGATAGATGACTACAGAAGATTATATAAGTAAATAAAGGAAAGAGGTGGACCACTGAGGAACTACAACAAAAAAGAAAATAACCAGAGCAGATTTGATTGATAAAGCAGATTTTTGGGAGCCATGTTTTCTATAAGATAGAAGACCGTTGCAATTCAATGTACAATAAGATCCTTACATTAGCTCATTTATAATCACCCCAGCTTTTTCCCAATTAGTACCCCCCTAAACTGATCATTCATGCCAGATAGTATGTCTAATCTTATTTATTTTTTTCTCATCCAGAAGTCGTCAGTTTCCTTGTTCAATTACAACATTTGGTGATCTAATAGAAGGTGAGAGAATAGATGAAAAGACAGTTAGTCAGAAGATAGTGGATGTAATATAAGGAGAAATAATATGCAGAGGAGAGTGAGCCAGTATCCAGTAAAGATGGAATTGTGCATATATAGGCATCTGCTCAAATACAGAAGCAGGTAGATTAATTCAAAGTCAAAAAAGTTTCCTGTATCATTAGTTAGTTAACTAACATGGCCATCATTTCAAAGTACCTATGCTCTTGCTGATCTTTATTGGTTTGCCCATGCCATGGTGGTCTACCTGATGCCTTGTAGATGCTCTGGACTTCAAGCATCCTCAGCCCCAGCCAATATAGCCAATAATAAAAATTTTCAGAGCTTTAATGTAAAGCATTGCCTATTTCTGTGCTAGAGCACTGGATAACATTCCAGGGTACAAGGGCTCTGTTGGCCAAGCACATTAGGCGACTTCATTGGCACCCAGCTTATTTTCAGGCACAACTGGAATGTTTGTAGTTTGAAAGGGCAGATTTTTTTTTTAATTATCTCAAGGAACACTGCCTCATATGTGCACTTTCTGGGTAGTTAAGATCTACAAAAGAGATCTTTCTTCCAAATCCAATTTATTGAAAGGCTAAGCATGTTTCCATGAGCAACATAGCTTTTCATGCCAGATTCAGCTAATTGGGGAGTATGTATGCCACACGTTTTGCCTTCCTTGTTTTGTGAAGACTCTTTACTCTCAAAGATTGATCTGTCTTTTGGCTCCACTCTTTTAGATTTGGGGACTGTGCATGTATGGGTGCATTATCTCTGTTGGAGATAATACTCTTGTAAGCTAAATGCAAAAAGCTTTGAAAAATAGTAATGAATTGGATACAAGACTATAGTAGATCCTTTGAAATGAAAGAGACCTGAGGAGTCCTTGGTGCTCTCTGAGCTTGGTTGTTTGCTTGCAGATGTTTTATTACCCAACTAGGTAAAATCACCAGTGCACATCAGTGCATTTCTCTTCTGTTGTAAAGAGACCTGAGTTAGTCACAAGTAACTGAAGTCCTGATTTAAGTATATTTGCTTTAAATATGCCTAAATCAGTCTGCTCCCAGCAGTCCCCCAAATGAGTAACAGATATATCTATATAAGGCTTCTAAAATATTTTATATACTAAATTATAAAATTAGAAAGAATATGGTATTTTTGCTGGTTTTTGTAGATTTAGCATTGCTTTATTTTGTACAATTCTAGTACAATGGTAGTATCTATGATTTTCATGGGTCTCCTATAAATAAAATAAGCACTCTTTGCAGTGGACCCTTGACCTCTGTTAAGCCTTTTTTCCCATGCTATAAGATTCAGTGTTGATAATACTTTAAGATACACTGAATACTCATGAAGTGTGAAGATCTGCATGAGAATTATTAAAATATTCTACCAAGATGAATAGAGAGCAGCTCTCTACAATAGCATGTGGCTATTTGACATGGAATAAAAAATACTACATTTTTAAATTATTTCTCTTATTCACAAGCATGTTTCCAAAACATTGAATCTTGTTAATAAATGAGTAAAGAATACACTTATAATGCTAACATCTGGAAGGGCTCTTCAATATTTGTTGAATAAACTGAATATTTACTAAGCATTCATATTATTTCTGCTGTTCCTAATCTTTTGAGTGGTGACTCTCTCTTACCCTTACTCTTCCCTGCCTTGGGTCTTGGTATACTATTTCCTCATAATTTATGGATGAGAAATTATACATGACATCTCATGATTTAGGGGGCACTTTGTGATGATGGAACAGAATGTTGTCTCCTTTCTCAAGGTAAATAAAATATCCAAGAGTAACAAAGGAAGAGAATATGTGTTAGTTTGCTACCATTCTAGCTTAAGGATGCAACCTTTTAAAAATTACCATAATTTGAAGTAGTAACATCACCAGAGTTACCTTGTTTGAATAACCTGTATAGAAGAGAGATAAGGCAAATACAAATAACAGTTTACATTTTGAATGTAGCCTCCTGTTCCCGCAACAGTTAATTGCAAGAACACTTAAATGTAAATCAGTTGTATCTTTCAAACTAGGTATTTTATTCTCTGCCTTGTGAATGGTATTAATTGAATTGTGTCCCTTTTCTCACAGCTGCAGTGCTGAAACTACCCCTGATCTCCCTTCCCCCAAATCTTGTGAAGTTCAGAAAGCAGATCACACTATTGTGGAAGACTGTCATCAATCCACAGTGAGTTATGTGGCTTGGGCAAGGAGTGGCAAATGATAACATATGCATCATGATGTGAATGATGCAACTTAGGTACTTGAATTAGACTTTGTGATGTAAGTACTAACTGGCATCCTTTGAGCAATGGCATCATGATGCAGGTGTCATCATTTAGATGTGATCATGGCTTCTTACGGATACTGCTGCCATGGGCACTGAGGAGCAAATGACAAAATATGCATTGCAACATTGCGATGCAAACTCTTCTGCTTTTGTAACCATATTAGGACATTGGACACATGTACATAAGGGGCAGAGCTTGCAATGTGATGTCACAATGCATGCTTGGTGAATTTGACAAAATCTCAGCTTGCTGTGAGCGCCCCTGTTGAAATATTTTTGGCTATCTTGTGTAAAATTGCTCCTTTACCTTCCAGAGCTCCAGCTCAAATTGTCGCAGATCAAGTTCTGACATCTCCTACGAAACCTCAGCCTGCACCAAAGTTCAGCGGGAGTGTCGTTTACGGCCTCATTTCAGTGACCCAATGCCAACAGATGCTGTAAAGAGGAAACAACTGGAGTTGAAGATAGCTGCAGCAGCCCGGCACCATGCCCAGAAACGCCGGCAAGAGAGAGAACCCAGTAAATCTCCTGTCTATCTCCACTTTTATAATGGTTGTCATTCCTAGATGGCAGCATGGAGCTGACTTTGAGTGATCATGAAAACCTAAACAGGATTGCACCTGATTAATAGTTGGATTGGAGACCACAGATCCTAGAGCTGTAGCCTAGCCTGGGAACTTGAAGGAAGATCTGAAAAAGGCAATGACAAACTACTTCTGTACCGTTGTCCATGTATCACCAGGAGCTGAGCTCAACTCTCGTGAGGTTGCAGGCAAGAACACTGAAGTTTCATGATCTCATGAAATATTTCACCATTAAATAATTTAAATTGATTTACGTTTAATTTTACGGGTTCACACATGCCATTTAGGGTGTCGCATTGCTGACCCTTGCTGTAAGGTCTACAAGAGGAGAAGGAACACAGCAGCAGTTTATTTGTCAGTACTCCCTGCCCTTTATAACAGACCCTTTAGATCAAGCAGACATCTTGCATGTTCAGGAGTGTTTTGAAGTTGCTCTTAGTGCAATAATTAGAAAAGGAAGGTGATCCCATCAAAGCAACAGGCATTAATCTAGCACTTTATCTTATATAGAACAAGAAATAAACCTGAATCAATTGGTCCTGCAGGAGCATTCAGAGCAAATGGAGGAGTTCCATTTATTAGGACAGGGAAGAGGGGGAGTTCTTTCAAGCATAGTTGAGCCACGCAGCAAATAAGACGTTTCTTTCTTAGTGGTCATATTAAGAACAGGGCTGTTGTTCAAAAGTGGAATGTATTATTTGAATGCCAAAGTAAGAGACTTGAACAATTTATGATCCACCAACACTATATAACCTTCTAGCCATGGGTGCTTATCTACTAGGAGTTTGATGAAGCTTCTAGTTTTGTTAACTTTCTTAACTGCAAATATTAACAAACACTTAGCAAATCACATAAGTACTAAGGTGCATTTAGTTTAACAATGGCTGAATCTCCTGCCCAACTTTCATAGGCTGTTTAATTTTCTAAGGAATTGGTGTTGGTTTAGAAATGGGGGAGTTGCTTACTTTGGCTATAGACAAAATGACAAAAACATTCTTCTATTTAAAAGTAGTGGTAAAGACACTCTCAGGTTGAACTTGACTCCTGATGAATACATGAACAGATCTTTGAAGTTTTCTTGGTAACCACATACCATTTTCTTATTCTGAGTAATTTTGTTTACAGCCTTAGAATTTACTAGTGGTGTTCCATCCAAAACAGTAAGCAGGCCCAATCTTGCTTAGTTTCTGAGCCTAAACAGGATTGGTCAGGTGATTACAAGATTCCAGTGAAAATAATGCTGTATCATCACAGGGGAAACTATTCTGTTGCTAGATAGTGATGTTCATTTATTTTGTTTCTCTGCTCAGGTCCAGCACTGACTAAAGCCACTGTCAACTATGGAAACAATGTTGATGAGAATCACCAGGTCCTGAGCAGTTCCTTTCGTTCCAAACACCGCTGGAGCAACGTTAGCAGTCTCAGCGCAGATAGTGGCATTGCGGGTGGGAATGATGAGAGAGACAATGCTGACATCACCATTGGAGGGGTGCCAAGGATTAGGTCATCCAAGATGGAGCGGGCAGATAGTGGTATCAGCCAGGTGTTGAGTAGGAGGTGGAGGAACCGGGCATCAGAAACATTAACATCTCTACAGGCATGGGAAGCCCATCAACCTTGTGCTGACTGTGGTGGGAGAGATTTTCCACTGGAAACAGATGTTCAGAATCAAAACAGGAGACAGGCCACTCTCTGTGAGAAGTGCCTGAAGTGCAGGACAGAGCGGAAGGAATCTGTGCTGGAATTTGTCAATACTGAAGCTAGTTATGGGGAAGACCTACGCATCATCAAGGAGGAATTCTATCTCCCCATGCAAGCAGCTGGCCTCCTCACACAAGAACAGCTGTTGGTGGTTTTCAGCAATATCCAGGAGCTAATTGACCTCAATGAAAACTTTCTGGAGTATCTTCAGGAAGAGATTGATCAGGCTTTTGAGCAGGTAGTGTGTGACTTCAAATCACATCTCCCTTCCCATTTGCAACAATCAAACTATTTCTTATTAATTTCTAAAGCATGTCAGTTTGTAACACTCATCTGAGTTCTACTGTGTCCAAAGCTGCCTTCCTCAACTTGTTGACATTCAGATGTATTGAGAACTACAGAATTCTGGGAGGGTGCCCTCCAGATGTTGTTGGACTGCATCAAATTGAGGAAGGTAGCTTTAAACCCAGAGTGGATTCAGTAAACCTAGGGCAAGAATGTTTGGCGGACAAGTATCTCAAAAGCCTTTCTGCTTACCTGTCTTGAATCCCTGGAAGAGATATGCTTCATAAGCTCCTGATTTAGTCAACTAAGTGTCAGTTCTTCGCTGTGAAACCCACATTCGTTGCCCAAACTTCAATAAATCTATTGTACAGTGAGATCCGCCATCAGTTACAAATATGAACACATTTCTTTCAGCTGAAGGAAAATGATGCATACAAGCCATGCTAACTTCTAAACAAAGCTAATGTAATGTAAAGACTATTGCCTGTTTATATTTTGTACTTCATTATAGCCTCTGAAAGGAGTAAAAGCCCATATAATTTCCTACAGAAATCCATTTTTACAACCCATCCAAATGGGGTAGTTTTGCCCCTGGAGGAATAATTAAAAGGAGTTTAGCTTTGCCAATAATTAGCGCTATCAAAGAATAAACATTAGGGTAGTTAATTTCTTAAGTATTATTCAAACCATACTCCAGATTGTCCCTCTTTCCTGAAGGTATTCAAGATTATTTATAATGGATTGGAAAGGCATTTCTTAAACGTTCAGAATGACAGTCTGTAAGCCCTGTTGGTTAACCTCATAAGTTAGATGGGGCAGAGATGATTATTTTAAGACTGGGCAATCACTTTGGGGGAGAGCATTCATTTAATAGCAGAACACGGTGGTAGTGTATTTTTTTCATACAGATAATGCTAGATTGGGTCCCAGACATACAAAGCTTTGTTTTAGTTTTTAATCAACAGGTGACTTCTCCATAAAATCAGGAGAATTGCTTCCAAATTGAGTAGGACAGGGAACCTCCAGCCCTCAAACACTGTTAAAGTATAATCTTTGGCAAAACAATTAACATGGCTAATCATGAGGGATCATGGGAGCTGTGGTTTATCAATAGCTGAAGGATCATAGCTTCTTGTCTTCTGGAATAAACAGTACTGATCCAGGTAGACAGATGGTCAGAGAAAGGCCATAGTTCAAGGTATAACCAAATTTTATACTTGTGGAGAATTCCAGGTTCGATTCCAGGCAACTCTAGGAAAAGCTGGGAAAAGATCCTGAGAAATTCCTAATAACTGTGATAACCCTGAATGAAATGGCCCAATGATCTGGTGAGATATTAGGAAGCCGCCTATATTTTTTAGTAATGAGAAGAGGTTGGTCTTAGAATTGGTCACACACCCAATAAACAGCTTTGAGTACCAAGCAGAAGGCAATCATTTTAATAATAAATGTAATTTCTGCTAGGGCTACGAAAGCATTTTAAAGGTATGAGTGCCGCACATGTCCTCAAAGAGTTAAGGCAGCTGCGTCCTCCAGAAGGCTTGACTGCTTCAAAGGCTTTCCCCCATTGTCTCTGCATTCATGTGTATGTACAGTCATTTTGCTTTGTTTGTGACCCCCAGTAGTCTTGCCCATGCATGCCCACATATGCAGAAACTGGAGAAAGCACTTGAAGTAGCCATGATGACCCTTCTAGAAGATGTGGCTGCTTTAACACTTAAAAGAAAGTGATCCACCCATGCGTGTGCATTTTGCAAGGTATCCCTTGTGATTGCTTTGCACAATCCTAATTTCTACCTCTTTGAATACACTCAGTGGCTACAGGTCAGCATAGAAGAATGGTGAAGCTCATTGTTTTTAATTGGCTTTTGCATGATTTGGACTGCAGTCCAAATCATGAAAAATCATTTGTATTTGCAAATAAACCCCAATATACTTATTGAGCCTTGTTTCTTAGTGAACCTACCCAGAATCCTGTAACTATCCTCAGTTTTTGCAGAAAAAATTGTAACCACAGATGTTCGCTTTTGGTGCTTATGCAATCTTATATCCTAGTGTTAGGGTCCCTATTCATGAGATCCTAACATTAATCATAATAAAAGGAGAATCCCAATCTAGAAGATGTGCTGATTATTTATACCAGTCTGGAATTGGTATAAATGATTTCCTTTCCACTTACAGTTTTTTGTTTTAATTTATTTTATTTTTTAACTTTGAACATTCCCTTATATCACTAGATTCCTCAAAATTAGAGTTACTATTATTAACATGGCATAATATTTCCAGATCTGATAAAAATATGATTCACCTCTCTGTGAATTTAATATTCACATTTTATCAGTGATTTTTTCAAGAAAGCAATTGACCATACTTTAGAGTGCCATCTGTCCAATGATAAATTATCTAAGAATTTTCACTTTTGATTAATCATTTTTATCTGAAGGCTTTAAATCCAGTAGCTGGTCATTAAATGTTGAGTTATTCAACAAAATTGGTCTTTTCTACATTGTCTCCATTTCCTTTAATTCTCAAATATTTCTTCTGTTCCCATCTTGTATGTTAGCCAAATCCAGTCTAATGTCTGTAATATCTTTTTCCAGTATCTAATATCAAACTCATTTTTCATAGTAACATAAGCCTTGCTAGCAGTCTGGGCAACCTCTGAAATTTGAGAAGACATTCTTTTAGTTGTTAGTTGTTTAGTTACTTTGTTGAAACATACTGCCAAGTCCTGTCAGATCTTATTAATGGACTTATCCCATTCCACCTTTAGTTCCTGTTTGAGTTACTTACTTAGATTTCCTATTGAGTCAGTTTCAAAATGTCCTGAACAGTGCTTGATTTTTACATATTATATCAGAACATCCAGCACTGCCACCAATTTGTCTTTATTACTAGTGTGGGGTGCTGGTTCAGCTGCTTTTGGATCATCCATGTAAGCCTTAATTTCTCTGCCTTTTGGGGAATTACCTTCCTTAGGCATCTTTTTATTACTAATATAGCCAATTAATGGATGGTGAAAATTATCAGAAAAGCTGGGTTGGGAGGAGAATAATCAGCTTAACATACTATCTTCTCTCCATTCACTTCATTATTTGAAGTATATTTAGACAACTTTTAAAGTTTTGTCCTCCCAAAGTAACCTACAGTCAAGTGGAAAAATAAAGAATGATGAAAATTGCCATGTTAACAAGCATGTGGAGTATCTTGCAAAGCTGTTACCAAGTAGCTAAATACAATTTCAGATTAAAGACAACATGAAGCTTCCTTGAATTTCGGTACAGAGAGGGGCACACATTTTGCAGTTGTGAAACCACCAGTCAATAGGCCTTGTCTCTTAGCTCTCTATCCTAATCCACTGTAATAGAAAGTGTTAAAAAGGGACCCCTGAAACAATGTTAACATACAGGCAAAATGTGGCAAAGAAATTCCCCTTGAAGCATTTATCACAAGGCACATTGATTATATGTGTTTTACAATCAACTGACAATACTATTAGGTTGGTAATTGAAGACCCCCAATATTTCTGCTTCTCTCTCATCTTGTATGTTGACAGGGTGATGATGATCTCATGACTGTGTGCATTGGAGAAATATTCCTGGAGTTTGTGAACATGCTGCCTGCATTCCAGACATACTGTCTCCAGCAGTCATCCTCAGTGAACATGCTCAATGCATTGGAAAAAGAAAAAGAGTTACTTAGGTGAGGAGGGTTCTAAATTTTGACTAGGTAACATACAGGTAGGAGGTTCAAGAACAGAAAAACATGCTTAGAAATAGTCATGCTTTGGATAAATTATGAGTTTTTCCAGAGAAAGCGTTGTTGACTAGAGCTGAGGAACAGAGGTTTCTGAGCTTGTATGAACAGAGACATGTTGTCAACTGGAACAATGAGATGGCTTTACTCATCTATTAATGATTTCCCGGAGTCGCTAAGAAAGCCTGTTTGGTGTAGTGGTTCAGGCTAGAAACTGGGAGACCGTGAGTTCTAGTCCCACCTTAGGCACAAAGCCAGCTGGGTGGCCTTGGGTGAGTCCCTCTCTTTCAGCCCTACGAAAAAGGCAATGGCAAACCACTTCAGAAAATAATGCCAAGAAAACTGCAGGGGCTAGTCAATGCTGACTCAAAGGCACAAAAAAAGAGTCATTAAAATAGATTCTATTACCCTACTAAACTTGAAGTGAGTGACTGAAACTGTTGAATCAAGCTAAGGTTTCATTTGAATTCATGACTCCCTATGTAGAAATGTGTAAGTATGGCAAAGTGGATTCTTGAAGGAACTGGTATCTCCTGAGAAGCCAGAATATCTGAGTATTTGGTAGGAAATGAAGGACAGTGACTAGGAATTTCGTATGTTCTCTAGGAAATACAAATTCTTGTCCAAAGTATGACTTGTATGTAAGTAGCCAGACTGATTTGGGGATAACACAGCTTCTGCAAATAAAGAAATGTCAGTAGAAATTGTCTTTCCACTAGTATTTCTTCCATTATACTGTAGCCAAAGTTTATCCCTGCTCATTTCCTTTTACAACTTAGCTGTATTATTACTGTAATGTGCTCTGTGAAAAGGCAATTTGTTAAGAATAGGGATTCTGACAGCCTTGACATAATAGATGGTAATAAAATCTATATTTGCATATCCTTAGTATTATTTAGCAGCTAAGATATGGTGTTAGAAAACTAGTCCTCGGCTACCTATTGGATAAATCAGATTTCAGAAATTCAAAATGCTAATTTTTTTCAGTTATATAAATTTCAGATAGATCAAAGAAACAAAAAGAAATATATTTAAAGGAAAGTGGAATATGTTTATAAAATTCTGGAAATGAAATTGTAATGACTATTTTAGTATTTAATCTGCTACTGTTTTCAGAATTGTTTTTCTACTGAGCCTTTAGAAGCAGACCCTAGGGAGAGGCAACTGGCATGGGTTCACTTGGCCCCAACAAACCTTCTTGTCTAACCCATAATATGACCATAAGGCTTAAGGACTGTACCAGCCCAGTGTATTTTAGCTGATTTCTTCTGACAGAAAACATGGGCTATGTAACTATCTCTTCTCCATTCTCTAGACATGAGAAACATGCTCTTGGCCCTTACACATTTCTCTGTTTTCATGTCTGTATGTGGGACATTCTAGAAAAATGAGAACAGGCAACTGATGTGCAAAAGGGCAGGTTGCCAGAGTCTCTCATGGAAGGCCAATGTAGTAATTTAGTAAGCTAATAAAGCCATGGGCTGCCTTCTCTCATTTCAAGTAAAAAAGCCAACTTGAGTTGTAATTAACTGTTTCTTTATCATTGGTAAGTACCACCTATGATACCTATGAATGGCAGGCCAATGTCGGGGCCACAGGATAGTCTATGCTGCATACAGCTGTCTTATCCAAAACATCTGCCTAAGTCTGTGTAATAATTGGGTCAGCCTGCTATGCTGCCATTATGCAGAGATGAAAAGCTTTGTCTCAGTAGGTCTTCTCTGCATCTCTGGTAGGAGTGAATCAGTAGGATTGTCATTTCAATCCTTGCTCCATCTGAAAGATGACTCATGGTAAGATTTTGTTTTTGAGTAGAACTCCTGTTATTTATTGAATGCTGCATAATTAATATAATAAATTAAACTCTGAAATAGCCTGAGCGATTATCCAGAAGGATGAGTGGAAAAATAATTCAGTTCCACCAAGCACCAATATAATGCATTGGTAAGGCACATGGTCATTAAAGATAATTATGCTTTGCAAGTATGGAGAAGTGATGCTTTTTCATTTCCACGGTCTGCAGGATATTTCTCAATGTTTCGCAGAATGACAACACAGCACTTCGTCGCATGAACCTGCGGTCCTTCCTCATGGCTCCCCTGCAAAGAGTTACAAAGTATCCCCTTCTTCTGAGCCGTATCATCAAAGCCACTACGGAGTATCACCCAGATTACAGCAGTCTGAAGGAGGCCAAAAGCCGCATCGAATCCCATCTGGAACACATCAACATGAAAACCAAGCAGGAAGGGAATTCGTGGACTCTGCGCTCCTTCCGCCAGGACAGCAAGAAGAACAGGGAGGTTATCAACATTGAAATGAGGGAAACCGCTCTCAAGACAGTGGGCTGGCTGCGGGAGGAAACACGGTTCGTGATGGAAGGCCCTTTACAGTTGGCCCAGCCACCTGATGGACAATGGGTGAAAAAGGGCAGTAAGACTTTAAAGTTCCAGAAGATGCAAGTACTCCTTATGGTCAATATCCGGCGTGCATCTGAGTCCAGTTTTGAACCAGGGGAGCCGGGCTCTGTGAAAGATGCAGTATTGGTACTTATTCGGGATAAAAACAATGGGAAGTTCAGTTTGCTCAGGGAACCCTTGCGACTCAGCAACTGTGTGGTCTCTGTGGATCCTGACTGTGATGATACATTTGAGCTGCTTGAGATAAGGCGGGAATCCTTCATATTTCGAGATGGCGACAAGGTACGAACTCATCACTGGTTTAGGCAGATAAGGAGGTACTCTCGGGAGCTGGGCTCCTGGAAGAAACGTCGTAATGCTTTGCCCAATATCATGATAAGTGCATCTCATAATAGGTCATGAGAGGAGCTCCCTGAGAAATGACTTGGCTGAGCTCTGAAACTCCACTAGACCTGCTTGGAATTGAATATCTCCTATCAACATAATTGCACAAAGGATGAACTTCATCTGTCCAAATAGCATTGGTGCTACCTATGACCATTATCTACTAAGAAGGACTTTCTAACAAGTGCTATGTAGTGCTATTTTCACACAGCAGGCTTAACTAAGTCAGGTAAAGGCATAGTGCATGTATTTACACAACATGGTAAGCTTGATTAGTGTTAACTTTGGTTAGGCTTAGCAAAATGTGCAACCCAGGCCATTGGCTGGTTTATGGTTCCACGTGTTGTGCAAACCCAGAAAGTGGAATAATTCAGTAACTAGGTTAAGCATGCGGTGTGAACCACAACCAGTGTTTTTAAATTCTAGAGAAAAAAGGTGTCCATATTTAAACTTGTTAGATCTTCTTATGACCTAACCTAGAAACCTCAGTGTGGAAGCTTAACCTGGATACACATATCGGTAGAGTGTCCCCTCATAGCATTCTTAGTTCTCAGCTAATACAGAGTCCTCACCTCTGGGACTTCTGAGATTAGATAACACAGAACAATTAGGGACTTCACCATTTTAATCCTCCGTTTCAGCTTCAACCATTCTGTTCACCTAGAAGCACACTTTTGGGAAATCTTGATCCTCCCTTTAGGTCTGCCATCAATTCAATGTACAGAATTTTGCCCCGCTTTCCTGGGGTCCTGCATTCCTTTTGAAAAACACTGTCTGGAGGAGTAATAAAGTAAAGGCTCTGCCAAAGTAAAACTGCTGTACCTATTGTCATATTGAAAACCAACCCATCATTTACAGAGCTGATAACAAGAAAGAAAGGGCTGCTAGCTTGAGAATTTCCTATAACTACTGAATAAAGATTTATTGTTGGGGACCATGTCTGAATAGAAGGAATATAAGGCACTCTGTTCTTGACAACCAGCCTGAGAAGTAACCAGATGAGGTTTTTATGTGGTAGAATGTCAAGATCCAGATTCTGGACAGTGGGAATGTTTTGCATTTCTTGTAAATAGGTTCAACAGCAGTGAAAACAAAATCAATGTTGTCTGACTGGGGTGTGGGTGGCCCATCTTGTGAAGATTTGCTCGAGTGGGAGAGGGCAGGTCTTTCAGGTTTGTGACCTACTGGGGATAATATCTCCCTGTATGGTAAATGGATGTCATTGGCACCAGATCTTAAGGAGCAGGTCTCTAAGAAATATTAAACTAATATTGTTAATATTGTGCAGATAAGATAAAGAATGTTTGCTATTTGACACTGCATGACTGTGCTGGGGAAAGGCATCCTGGGAATATATAATAGAGATTTCATTGTATGTATAATAGCATTAGGTAACATCCAGGTCAAATTTAGAGCAGTATTAATCCAATAAGAGAGAATGTTTAGACAGTATCATTGTTTTCACATTTTAGCTTGCTGTCCCAGGAAATAAGTACCTTTAGGAGTTGTTTTTTGCTGTTTGAGAGGGGTTTTTTTATAAAGAAAGTCTAAGAGTTGTCCTCTTTTGCTCTCAAGACCAAGTAGGTGCCAGTTTATTGAATTTTACATTGCACAGAATGCATGTAATATGTAAAATGAAAGGGAAGCCAAATACATATTTGACATTCACCCGCAAATACTACTGAATATCTATAGAATCCTGTGGATAAGCAATAGTCTCTTTTTAAGCATTACTGGACTTATTTGTAAATGAATTAAAGAACGACTGTAGAAATCCAATATGGTATATATCTGAATTAGTTCTGAACTGTCTTCTGTTGATAAGGTTCAGTTACCTCTTCTAGTTAGTGATTACACTAGCTAAATACATAAAACTGTATTTCAAAATTTTAATTAAACAGGAATCTGTTGCATTACACTCTAGATCAATAATATAACATTTTTAATAATTCATTTCCTTAATTATTTTAATCATTTTGCACATTTTCCATATGCTTCCTTGCATCAGAATTTAAAATGCTTGCTGTCAAATATCTGCCATTCACTCCCTAGTGGTACTTATCTTCCTTCCCAGCTATTTTAAGCGTGGTCACCAGGAAAGAGGAAGAAACAGACACCATTTATTTGTTTATATTTTGTAAACTGTCCAGTAGCTGAAGCTCTCTGGGTGATTTACAGTAAAACACATTGAAAATACAATTTGAATAAAAGCATATGGATAAAATCCAATAAAATATAAAACAAAAACACCATATAAACTAGGGAGCAACATGGTGGTTTTTGATAAAAAAAAAAATTAAATAAGAACTTTATTATATTATATTTCAAAGTACAGTTAAAATGCAAAACAAAGAGTACAGCAAGGATAGAAAATAGAACTAAAAGAAAAAAGAAAAACTATAGTAGTGAAAGTAGATAGAAAATTGAAACAGAAAATTACTTCCAACTGTCTCCAATACAGATATAAATACAAGCTGGAAAAAAAAATCTCTTACTGCTAATTAATCCAAGTTCACATTATTTCTATCAACACAATCTATCTAATCATTAAAACCCACAGTCAAAACCTCATTTTTTCCCTGCACAAGCACGTAATCTAAAAGAGGTTGCCATAAGGAGACAAATTTAGAAACAGTGTTATCTCTTATTAAA